ATTCTATTATCTAGCCTAGGTAACTATTTGTAGAAGAAGTTATATTACACTAGATGTTATTAGGATAGGTGGTGGGGTATTCTATTATCTAGCCTTGGTCCATATCGCAAAGTTATGGACCGCAAATTGACCAATCATAGCGCGTAATTACCATGCCAGATTTACTTACCTAGCTGTTTCATGTTAGGGTTAAAGTCAACACTAGTTACAGTATCTCTGTGGCCCTTAAAGTGGCGCTCAAGCGTCGGATCCTCCTGTAAACCAAACATCACTGAATCACATCTTATTCATAACTAAAAGGCTTATTTTACCGTTTCTGCATCACGGGTTCTGTATCTTATCAACGACGTTGTTTACATCAACTTTTTTGCTTCAAAACTCAAACTCCTTAATTAGAAAATCATTCATACAATTCTTAGGATGATAACTTACCAAGCTGGAGGTCATATTTGCTTTAATTCTAATGGACTCAAGCAGAAATATTTAATTTTTAAACTTGTATTTTTTCTCTGTTTGTTTTCTTGGTTCAAATATGGCGGGCCGTTTGAGCGTTTATGAACTCAACCGCTGCTAGAAGTCGAGCCTGCAATACTAGCTTTGCGGCCTGGCCTAAATTAATGCTCAGGTAACCCAAAAAAGGATTCCAAAATGTTTGATTTCATTTGAAGATTTGATAAAAGTTAGCAAGAAGAGTCGAGAAGAGGATGTATTTAGGTGTAGAAATTGAATTATCTTTTTAGCAGAGAATATTTCGTATGGCCGTTTAAAATTGGTGCCCAACACTTTTTTATAAAATGTGCAGTGGCATTTGCGCAATGTGGTTAGTTTTAACGAATTTCCTAACGTTAATATTTCCGTTTGCTATTTTATTTACAGACACATAAAAGAAAATCAAGTTTAGAATTTTTTAGAAAATTTTTTTAAGGACAACAAAATGAGTTAGCTTGGGCTTCCTGTGTTATGCGCAAAGCATTATGGGAGATCCTGCATAAAACAAGATGGCGTCCTAGCTGAGTGAAAAAAGCAACGATTTTTGAAGCAAGATTTTTTATATCGAAATGAACCGAAAAGATCTTTATAAGCAAGGAGTTCACAGTATTGGTAATCAAAGAACACGGAGGAGAGAACAAGAGGCTGATCTCCGCAAAGAAAGACGTGAAAGACTGTTAACTTCTAAACGGATTCGCTTCGCCGAGGAAGTTGAAGCCGAGGAAAACGCAGAAGAGTTCACAGTTGAACAAGTTCGCGAGTTTGCAAAAGCAATACACAAACACGACCAGAACACGTTACATTGTTTGCGCAGCTTACGGAAAGCGTTCGCTCAAGGAAGCGCACTGATCAGCGCGTTTTTAGGCGTTGAAAATGGGCTTCGAGCTGTCGTTACACATTTGACTGGCCACAACATAGACCTTCAGCTAGAGTCTGCATGGTGTATCACTAATATGGCCGCAGGAACTCATGAAGACACACTGACCGTTCTCAAAGCTACTGCTCCTTATCTTATTACTTATCTGAGTGGACAAAATGTTCAACTTCAAGACCAGTGTGCATGGGCTTTGGGTAACATGTCTGGAGATTCTGTGGAGTGCAGGGATCTGTTACGATCCCAAGGTATTATAGGACCCATGGTAAACCTATTAAAGGTAAGGCACTTAAATTTTAAGCATTTGTATGCTTGAACAAATGATTRCATGAATTAAGGTGCATGCATTAATAAAAAGTAGCATATATCTATGGTTTGTAAATGTAATTCAAATATGAAAACAATAACTAACTGATAACTGTTTTTTTAGTCTGGCTTGCCGTCTGCTGTTCAATCAGCTGCATTTGCATTGTCAAACCTTGCAAGAGGTCAAAATAATGCATCAGAAGAGATAATGAATGCTGGTGTGGCTCCACTTCTTGTCAACCACTTGGTGCCTGGAAAAAGCTCTGTTGATCTTGTGGCTGAGGTGGCATGGGTTCTGACATACTTGACGTCAAAACCAGATAACCTGGCTCAGTTTGTTCCCTTGGGCATTAYTGATTATCTGGTTAAGTTGTTGTTTAATGTTGTTCAAGAAAACCCAGAAAACAATCAAGTTATTACACCTTTACTGAGATGCTTAGGTGAGGAAAGAAAATAATCTTTAGGACTCTAATTTAATGACTGTTTTTTTACAACAGACTGTGAAACATAGCACACAGACCACATTGATAGTGATACTTGAAATCATGCACTGAACTAATCCTGTCAAAAAACCTTAAAATTTTATGAAACCTTGAATTGAACTCTAGGCTGACCAAAGTCACAGCTCACTCAAAGATTGAATTGGAATTTAGCTGGTTAGGATTTGCAGATTCTAATGCATTACCACTCCTGGGTGGATGCGGCTTAACTTTAACAGGTTTTGATGCAATCCAACTGATAAGGCAGCCAATAGATTGAATTAGAATTTAGAAGTTGATTTTTGAGGAGAGAAAAAAACGGGAGAACCCAGAGGAAAACCCCTTGAAGCACAGGAGAGAACCAAGAAACAACAGACTTTACTCACATACGACACCAAGCCCGGCAGGGTTTGAACCCGGGTCGCATTAGAGGGAGGTGGTGCATTAGCATCATATGCCACACGCCTGTGCTTCCCAAATTGTGGATTGCAGATTTGGGGATGGAGAAAAACCAGAGAACCTGGAGAAAAACAAACCCTCAAATCAAGGGAGAGACCTAAGCGACTTCACTTGATGATAATTACAGGATTCAAACCTGAGACACCAGAGATCTTGATTCCCCCCAAAAATGTTCTTTACTCTTTGATAAAAGGGTTTGGACTACTGTAATAAATGGCCAGTTGTTCCCTTTGAGCCGATCACACTCAGCCTTGGAATTGAATTAGATTCTAAAATCTAATTCATGTCAAAAATTTTCTAGGAAATATAGCAAGTGGCCCAGATGAGTATGGCAGTATGATAATACAAGATGGAACCTTCCTTCCTACCCTCGTAAAATGTTTCCAATCCAGTCATCGGCATGTCAGGAAAGAAAGCTTATGGGTTATGTCTAACCTGACGGCTGGTCCAGCTGAACATGCTGGGGCTATAATATCATCCCCTGGTGTTATACAAGTCATTGTACACATGTTAACTTCAGAGACTTATGATATCAAGAGAGAGGTAATACTGGTTATATCAATATCATATTACAACCATCACTCCCCAGATATTATTGGACATGGTAACCCTGAAACTGCAAAGAAGTGGGAAACAGTGGCATAGTAGTGCATGCCTGGGGGGGGGGGGTACTCCGCCAGGATTTGGTTAGGGGTGTTCCGCTGGGATTCTGGGGTACCCTGTTTATGACAAAAAACTCAAATTTGTAGACCCTGTTTATGACAAAAGATATAATTTATTGCACTGAGTTCTTGTTTCAATTATCATGTCATCTCACGTATTGTTTTTTAATGACCATAATAACCAGTTTCGGTCAATACGAAAGTAGAAACCCTGAATATGACAGGAAACTCAAGAAGAGCTTGGAACTTGAGTGAAATTGCATACCCTGTTTATGACAAGAAGCTTGAAAACCATACCCTGTTCTGCGGGTCATCCCYGTATAGTCCATATTTGGGAGTATACCCCCCCCGGGAGTGCATGCCACCCCAGTTCACCCTGAGTTTCATTTCTTTGTTTGCAATCTAAGATTTACCAACACATGTAGAATGCAATAGTGAAGACTTACAGTTTTTAAAGGCTTATACTAACTTACCTATGCAGGGCTTAATATAATGACTGGTCATAAGACAAGGTACAGTCAACTGGTAGCATTGAACCAGAATCCAAGTATGACCAACCTAACGCTAATTTGGCCAGTCCTAATGACCAGTGGCTGACCGGCTATTATTTTTACCCTTATCATGCTATGCCCCAAAATATATATTGATTCATGACAATAATACGTACTGYGAGCTGTTTATGCTTGACGCAGAATTTATATCTGTTTGATCCCTGTTTAAATATTCGTTTTCCTTTCCATTTTGATAACAGGCAGCATTAACATTATGCAATGTGGCATATCACAGCTCAGAGTATCTCAAGGTGATCCTCAGCTGTGGAGGCATGGCTGGCATTGTAAACATCCTGAAATCACATGATCAAGATGCTGTTCTCACAGGACTTCAGTTTGCTGAAATGGCACTAAGAATATTCCCTGAATCAAAGGAGAGTTTTGAAGAGGCAGAAGGTGTGGCATGCCTTGAGGGACTTGAATATAACTCAAATCAGACACTCAGGCAATATGCCAATGAACTTTTAGACACTTATTTTATGGAAGAAGAGGAACAAGGTGAAGAAGATATTGACAGTGAATTTAACAGTAATCTGGATACCATGACTCCACAAGAAATCAATATGACTGGTTCTAATGATGACACCTCTTGAAATTGTTGATTACAGTAGGCGATCTTTTTTCATTTTTGCAACATCTACTGCTTCTAGACAGTTGGGTATTTGGCATCTGTCAATCAAATATGCTCGCTGTTGAACTGTTTTATGTTTAGCTTAGGAAGTGATATATATTAGGGGTCATATAATTRTTATCAATTATATTACAAGTTCTAATAAACGAGCTTGAACACAGCATTTTCCCATTCAAGATTACGAGTCACCCATTTAGGACTGAGCATCTTTGTTTKCCATTACATACACTTCAGTGTGGACACTCAAACTGGTACCATTTTAACAAGGCTAACCAATCACTATCTAGAGTAAAAACTGGAGCCAATCAGGAGAGAGCAGAATTAGTAGCTTAGTCTAGGACTTCATCTTCCAAAAGTTAGAGTAAAATTATTTAAAGTGAGCTCAAGTGTGGACCTAGAGGAACATTGTGTTGATAGCCACTCATCTTTAAAGAGAAAAGCTGTTTTATTAAATAGAAAGAAAAAATCAGATGCAGATGGCGTCAGTAACTGTGGTCTGTTCACTAATAAAGCACCATTCTCAACCAATCAGAGCTCACATATGACTATTTTCAATAACTATTGTTCTGGACTGACTAGCCTCTCATACATGTGAAAATGCCTTCATGTTTCAACATTAACATGAGGTTAGTCAGTCCAGAAAAATATTTATTCATATTTCTTTCCATATTTTAATTCAGTGTATAAACTTGTTTTTTAGGGGAAAAAATTGAAATTAAGCTGGATTAGGAAAATGCTGTGCATCTATACCTTATGTTTTTAACTTTAAAATATTCTTCCTAATAACAAATCCATTTATTTTAATGACTATCCATTGTTCAAGTTCATGTAGTCTCCCTCGCATCCGTTTTTAGTGTCGGTCGTCACGCAACGCTCTCTCTCGTTGCGTGACGACCGACACTAAAAACGGATGCAAGGGAGACTAAAGTTCATGCTGATATCAAGGAACTCTGAGCCATTCCAACCTTTTTGTTAGATTTTCCTTTTTTCCTCTCTATAAAATAAATATTTAAATGAAATGAATTATTTGTGTGTAATTACTAGTTGCAATCCTGCTTACTACATCACATGACTCTACTCAGTATACATAACAGTTTGCCAGTCAAATATTTCAATATAATTGATGTAACATAGCAACGGATGATGATTTAGTGACCCCTTAAAAACCACAGGAAGCCCGATGTTAATTGCAAGTTATACTTCCGCATTTTCTAGGAATCCCACCGAGCGTCTAAAACTACTACAATAGACGCCATGATGCCCAAAATGGTAGATATTC